AGCCAGTGAACTAAGATTCAATGTGCTTGGCTACAAGGGTAATGAAGAAAAAATCAGTAGTCCTTATTGCATAGATAAGGTTGCTTTACCAGAGAACAAGGTAACACAAAACGATTCATTACGCGGGAGCTATCAAAATGGCAATGCCAGCTTTTCAAATCCAACTTCCAATCCTGAGGTTCCTGATGATGGAAACATGGTCTCAGAATATCAACCAAAACAATCAAGCGAATTCTCTTCAGAAGAGTTCAGGGAATTGAAGTCCAAATTACATGAAACCGAGCAGCTTCTATCAGAAGCTAAATCTCAATTGGTTTGTGCTCGAAGGTCAAACAGCTTGGCTGAGACACAACTCAAGTGCATGACAGAGTCTTATAGAGCATTAGAAACACGTGCAAATGAGTTAGAGACCGAAGTGAACCTTCTCCAGGTAAAAATAGAAACTCTGGAAAACGAGCTTCAAGATGAAAAGAGAAGCCATCATGATGCTTTTGCCAGATGTAAAGAGCTAGAAGAGCAATTGCAAAGGTAAGCATTGAATTCTTTTTTGTACAATATAGAGTTACTACCAAATATTGTTGCGTGACTCTATGTTCTAATTTATTTACTGAAAATTATGACTAACAAAACTCTTTTCCATCACTTTTAGGAATGACAACTGTTCTGTATGTTCTTCAGCAGCAGATAATGACCTCAAGAGCAAGCAGGTGAGGCTATATTTCATCATGTGTTTCTCAAAACCGGTCTTCCGATACCTACTAAGAAATTTAATATTACTGTTTAAAATGCCAAATACTCCTGCATGACAGTGGCATACTTTACACTGTCCCTATCAGAGGTATTTTCCTGGAAAAAAAAGTAGCTATGGAGAGATTTTCTAGAGCTTAATTCACACGAATTTGAAAATTTTAGATAAAGCTTATTTCATTTCTATTATGTTTCAGAGTCATGCTGTTATTGAAACTTAATTTGCTGCTTTAGTACAAGTCATTCTTCCTCTTTTCAAGTTCTAATTTTCTTCCACAGGAGAAAGAACTAGCAAAGAAACTAGCTGAATGTCAAGAAACCATATTCCTTCTCGGCAAACAATTGAAAGCTTTCCATCCTCAGACAGATATAACGGGATCACCATACAATGAGAGGAGCCGAAACTATGATCCCGGAACCAGCGGCATCTACTTGCAGGATCTATTTCAGACAAAGATAGACAGTGTTGCTGCTGCTTGTGGCATTGGGAGCAGAACTGGTGCAGAGTCTCCCATGGAGTCATTTAACATACCATGCAGCCCATCTGATACTGAACCAAACCCTTTGAGATCACCCATCAATTCAAAACCCAGGTCTACAATGTCGAGCTCTTCATCTTCTTCTTCTTCTACCCCAGCCCCGGAGAAACATTCACGTGGCTTTAGCAGATTCTTTTCCTCCAAAGGGAAGAATGATCATTAAGCCTGCGAATTATTGGCATTATAACTGAAATCGTTTCTTAGGTTCACGTCAAAGTAGCATTATAACTAATGACTATATATGGTATCAATATCTGTTATTATTAGTGATTTTCATTTACTCGCTTCAATTTCTGTATGTAGTTTTGTCCTTTGGATGTGCCATATCTATAGTTGTAAGGTGTTTATAAAACGATTATATTTAAATACTCGTTCGTTATCTTTTCAAGCAACAAAAGAGCTAAAAGAAGAGAAGCATATAATTTTTGCTCTAAATTGTGCCCTCATCGACAGAGTGACTGACCATTTTTTTCATTATTACCCTATCTTCCAGCAAAGTATATGAAGTTTTTGTCGAAAATGGTTATGACAGAATTAATATGCAGGTTAATGAGCTTTATTGCGAACCCAAAAGTCTCGGATCATCAATGGATGAGAAAGGGAGAACTGAGAAATTCAGGCTGATTCAAGCAGGCCCAAAGCTGTATTTCTCTGCTCTGTTACAGACAGCGAAACAGAGACCAATGGGCATAGGCAACTTGCACTGTCCTATAAAATAAAACAGAGAAAATCAAGAGTGCAACCAACAAGTATATATTCAAACTTGTTTTGGTTTTTGATTGCTTTCATTTAATTTTATTAACTGCATTGTTAATTATTAGAAATTTGATCCGGCAATGTATATATATATATATATATATCTGCTTGTTTTCAATCTTTGAGCTGTTAATTAGAAGTTAGAACACTCCAATCCCAAAAGACAGCAACCCCAATAGATTTGACGAATCAACGAACAATAATTGATTTTGAAGTGTAATCATTGTTTTCTGAATGCATGATAATGCATTATAAAATGTCTTCATGGACAAGAAAACTTCAAGTTTGTAATGATTTTTTCTTTCTTTCGAGAAGTCTATTAGAAGTTCATTATTGTGGAGGTTGACCAAAGAGAATTGACCATTGAGCTCCAAGCCTTTCCTTTTTCTTGGTCAAAACAATCATAAATCTCCAAGAGGAGGACTCAAACCCAGATTTGAACCTTTCGGGTTTTAAGGTATTTCCTTATAAAATGCTTGTAGTTCATAAGAATCAGCGGTATAATTCAGACAAAACTGGCATCCAATAATGTTTTGATCTAATCACTTCTGCCATTTTGGTTTTCAATAATTATTTGAACCTTATAAAATGTTAAAATTATTATTTGTTATAGATTCGAATCGAAGATAAATAGACACCATTGAGTATCCATTATTTGAATATATTATTTATGCATATATTATTTGTTATAAATTTATTAATTTAGATTCAATAATTAAAAAATGACAGATATTCAAGCTGTATCATACATGTAACTAGTTTTTGACAACAAAGAATGATATACGTGTGAAATGATACCTTTCAAGATATTTTGATGGAGTGATAGTAGTAAGAGGAAGTTTTTGTACCATCCTTGTTGGTAGGAAATAGGAATATAAGATATAGTTGGTGTTTCGATGGTGAATGGAAAGCTTCAAAACCCTAAATATCGTTGAACCAATTACAACATGTTAACCCTACACCTGCAGGCTACAGGCCACCCCACCTCCCGACATTAGTGGATGCCCTTCCCTGTCCTGAGTTGCTACAATTTGAAAATACGCTAGAAAACAGTGAAATAATTACCCCAACATTCAGTGGAGCAACTAGCATCCATGCAATGTGGCGGCGGCCGTGGATCCACCAAAATAATATCAGCCACCCATCCACACTTTATTTTTAAACCTAGGTTTATTTATCCACCTATGATACTCTTCCTTCATTTTGGGTCAGTTTTAAACCTTTTCTTTATCACCACTACAACTACCGCTACCGCTACCGCTACGTTGTTGTTATACTCCAATTGGGTATTTAAACCCTAAACACTTCTATTCGGAAACCCCAACTATTTGAAACTGAAAAAAAATCTTTCTAAACTTATATCTAGTTTATTTAATATTTAAATTTACATAAAGACCTACACTATTATTAGACGTATATATTTTAGATATTTTTTAAAGAACCCTTTCTTCTCTTTATCATTATTATTATTATTATTTGAAGTACAGCAGTTTGATTATAACTATATAAGATAAGGTTCGTAGCTAGCTCTGAGTAGGTATTAATGTATCTGGCAAGTTGCTAATCACGGTTTAGGTGGAAATCAAGAATGCCATTAGGCTTCAAATTCAGTATAATGCAGTAGTCATTATCAGAAATATATAAAGCGACATTGCAACCACTTGATTTGATATAATACAAGATCACATGGAGTATTACTACTGATTATATATAATCCACGCCCTTTCTATTATTAACTTTACAACTTATAATATATGCTTATATAATTTAGCTACATTATAGTTATGGTAATGAGTTGCCTCTGAACTAATTAATTCAAAGATAGGCAGATAGCAGTGAACCAACTGAATAGATGAAGCCTAACTTCCCTAAACAAAACTGTTTACACCAACCAACACAAGTATTTCTTATAATTATATATAATATTTTTAAAATGTACTCTCAAAATAATTAGCCTACTTGAAACAATTTATTTTCTAAAAGTTTTTCATATATATATATATATAAAGAACTGTTCATACCAGTTGAATTGAAAATTATGTGTCACTCTTTGGGATTATCTGTAACGAAAGTCAATAGGTAGAAACAGCATGAAAATGGCATTGGTTGATGTCGACCATTGCCATCTAAGGATCGTAGTCTCTGGTCGATAAGTAGTAGTAGCAGGGTTTTTTTTATGTTAAAGGTGGTCCAATGCAACAAATAAAATTTTTTTAGAATTTTAACCCTGCATCGCCATTGTGGAAAACGTTATGTCACAGTGTTATTATATTTATCAAAAACATCATCTGCAATCCGAACCGTCCAGTTTGCGGTATAGAGTAATTACAAGATAATATATATTTAGAATTCTTCTTAACTACCGACAATGCATACACATCCTGCATACATTAGCGGATCGAGAAATATTTAGTAGGCATAAATAAAACTTTAGGTAGTCGTTATCAGTAAATAGATAACTAATTAAAAAATTTAAAATATGGATCCACCGTTAATAAAATAAGGAGAATAACACTCTTTTCTTTCATCGAGGTTCTTCAATAAATTCTTCCAGATGGATGTTGAACGTTGTTTAGTGATTTTGGTTCAAACATATATTGTAGAGGTGAAATGATCAGTAAAACTGAATGTGAAAAAAGAAGAAAAAACTGCATTTCTGATGGAATCAAGTGGGCAGAGTATTCTGCAGTCCGCACACATGTTGTGGGAAAAGAACTCAAACTCGCATAGGGATTACGATTGCAAGTTGGAAAACCATAATTGTAATTTCCTTTCAGAATTCTTTTGGGTTTGGTTTCATGATCTCTTCTAAAACATACGTAGACTCGGGTCTAAAAATAAACCGAATACTAGGAGACATAACAAATATGCAGTGAAAATAAGATAAATGAGACGATGGGTAAAGCCAAATATCCTTGATATTTAGTTCCCTTTCCTCACAGGTGACAGGGTACAGGGTACATTGGCAGTTGATATACAAGTCTAAAAACACACATAAATTAAATAACATTTATGGGTTTTCGTGTTAGAGTTTAAACAACTTGGTAAAAAAGGAAAAAGAAGATACGAAGGAGAAATTCTGATGAGAGAAGAAATGAAGCAGCTTCATCTTAATCGTATTCTCCAAAAACTGTTTCATATAATTTGTCCTTTTATCATCTGAGCATGGATGTCAGAGACTGGAAAACATCTTCTTCACAAGGAATGGTGAGTCCCCTCTCGTGATCAAACCCAAATTCTTCTTCAGCTTGATGAAGCAAGCTCTGAAACTCGGGTCGGTTCAAGAAAGAGATGGGGATAATGTATCTGCTTCTGTTTTCACCCACATATACAACGAAATGGCCTTTCGGGACATCCAAAGGGAGTCCCTGCTCATCTTCGTAGCTTTGTTTCTTTCCTAAGCTGGAGCACCTCTTTAGGATTTGCTTGATGGCTGCTGTCTGAGGCAACTTGTTTGATTTCCTGATAGCCATCTTCTTTGAATTTCTGGTGTAAAAAACTTTTGGGGTTTAGATTTGAGAGGAGAGTTAAGAGAGAAGTGATGAAGGATGGAATGGAAGGGGGATATATATATATACATATATTTATATGGTTAGGTAATAGAGTTTGAAAAGGATGGAGAAACAAAGTCATGTGAGGTTGCGGCCTTGTGGGGACAAAGGACAGACCATGGGTGTTTTTTGGGTTTGTACGAGTTAACATGGAGTCATTGGGATTACTCCAACTTGTTGTCTGTTGCCCTACATAAAGACACCATGGTCCAGCTTTCCCTCTCGTTGGGCTTCAACCGTCCCTATGCTACTGTACTCTATTACTCGAGGACTAGCCCACCCCCCTTCATTTTCCTATGTATGATTTTGGTTGGTTTAGGTTAGCTAGTAAATCTTAAAAGGGAATTACTAATTAGATAGTTATTACACGAGTAGAACTAGTCAAAGTTGGTGTCCAGAAATCAAGCAATCTTATCGAAATATGTAACCATGGTTTCTATTTGTCCTAATTTTGGCAATTATTCAATGAATCAGGAACTCCCAACCTTAGTTGCCAATGTGCCATAGCAAATTGCGCCTTAACAATTAAAAAAATGGTGAGATTGGGAGGATAGAAACTGCCCCACTGGACCATACAGTGTTGAAAAATAAGGGCAGGTCAAGAGAGAAGACATTGGCTGTTCCTAAACATAATCCCATGCTCATTTCAAATACTAAAACTTTCAGTAGCACGTGTGATTGTTTGATACAGTTTGAGCACATTTGAATCCCATATCATATTCTCAATTGCATTAATCATGCATATTATGGAAATAAAGAGTTTCTTTTTCTTGCAGATCTCTTGGTATATGAACATTTATGGACTTTGGTAATGGTGGTCCTTGAGCGAGGCTTGCAGTTGCAGATGGAACTACCAAATATGAGCATAGTCATAATCAGATCATAAATTTCAAATTAAATGAGAACCACTTGCTCTCCCTCCTTATGATCCATGGCACCACAAACTCTTTCTCTCTTTAATTTCCCCATGTTCTAAGGTCCAGAAACCGCCACACGTGGTCTCAGTTTCTACGAAAATTATGCTCTGGTTAATGCTCTTTTACGGCTACGTACGTCTTGCACTGTTCTGTACCCTTTTGAAAATCTTCCCCTTCGTTTTAATCATATATAGTTATTACCCTTGTTATCAGTAATGTTTTTCGTTTGGTAGCGATGGCATTAGCTATAGAGCTGGGTATATGGGCTAAGGCCCGCGGGCTACCCGTTTAACCCGCGACTCGTGCGGGTTTCGGGCCTCAAAAATTGAAGATCGTTTAAATTGCGAGTTTTTTAGCCTGGACCGTTAAACCCGCAGGTTTAATGGGTATAACCGCGGGCTACCCGCGAAACCCGCTAAAGCCCGCTAAAGCCCGCTTAATTTAAAATTCATAAAATTTTAGATAAAATAAACTTAAAGAATTTTATAGAAAAAGAAAATAAATTACCTATAAATATGATGTTACTTATAACTATTGTAGTTCTTAAATTTATTAGGGCGTTTGTCATAATTTTACCGTTGTTTGGTATTTTTTCATTTAAATATATATCATTATCATTTTGGTATTTAAAGATTTTTTTTATTTAATTGACCTTTATTTTTTTTCATGAAGTATGTTATCAATTTTGTTCTTTAATTATAAAAAGCCACGTGATATTCTAATAATATATCACATGACACGTAATATTTGGATTAAAAATAAGAAAGAAAAATAAAAGAAAAAATTGAAAACATATTTTTCAACTTTTAAAGATTTTTACAAAATAAATATATTTTAACAAATTAATTACTTATATTTTATCAATTTTAGTATAACTGTATCTTTCAAATTTACTCTTATACTGTAAGTATTTTATTTTATATTTTCATATTATGTTTTAGTCTTTCTCTAAAGTATCCATAAAATACAATTATTAAGATCACTTGACAACTTTCTTGTTAGATTTGTATAATGTTTTGACTTTGTTGAATTTTAATGTTTGAATTTCTGCTTTCAGAATTCAGACACTTCTGTGTCTTCATATTATAGCCTTGAATAATCGTGTTTTATAAAAGTGTAATGTGGTTATTATTTTATTTGTTTTTCAATTTGGTGATATAAGTAAATATTGTTTTTTTAATTTGAGTTTAAGTAATTATATCATATATATATATATATATATATATATATATATATATATATATATATATATATATGTATGTATTAATGATTAAAAAAATTAAAAAAAAATATTATTTTATAATCATTTCCGGCTATTTAAAATAAAAATTAAATATTATTTATTATTTTGATGGTGTTACCTTCCTTTTCAAGTTATTCGATTATTTTTAAAGGTGTAGTAAGTTAAAACATTATTTTTTATTGCATTTAAAGTATTTAAAATTATTTTTATTAAACGGGCCGCGGGTAAACCCGTTTAGCCCGCGGGTTAAATGGACGGACCGCGGGCCTTAAAATTCAAAACCGTTAATGAATACGAATTTTTTAACCCGCTCCGTTTAAGTCCGCACTATCAAAATCCGTGGGCTAAACGGGCGGGTAGCCCGTATACCCACTCTAAATTTAGCTATGTATTAGTACATTGATCGTACCTGAATCTCGTTGTCTAATTAATGTATTGTTTTAATGTTTTGAGAGCATACGTGCTTTGGTTTAAAGACAAATAGCGTGTCTCTGTATAATTTCCTCGTATTCTTAACTTCCCAAACCGAATTTTGGTTCCACTTTTGGTTATAACTAGAATCAACAAATGTTGAATGTGGGGTGAATCTGATCATAATAACTATTGGTAGTTCATCAACAGATTCAATGGATTGCATCGAAGGGCTTGTACTCGAAAAAAAGTCAGAACTCATCGACCAAAGGGCACACCACCATGTTCTGTGATTGAAATTAATTTGTTTACTAAACGTGGGATGAAAACTAAAAAACCGGATATTCGTACTAAAAGAGATGGATTGAGGGGACTCTTCCAAAATTTCAAAAATTTTATTAGTTTAAATATTTTTTTATATTTTCTATTAGGTTCACATCATGGCATAAAATTGTGCCTCCGTTCTTGAATATGACGATGAGTCCAAAATTTTCCCAAAAGTCGAACGGTGGTGACTGTTTTAATGGAGGTTTGAGAGCTTAGTTTGAAAAGGCACACCCAGGCGCGCCGGGCGCCAGTGAGCGCCGAGGAAGTCGCTATTGGAGAGCTGGGCAGGGCGTATAGCCAAAAGCCCTCCCAAGCGCGCGCTTAAGGCGCCTTTTTCAGAGGCGCAGAGCGCACGTTTTTGCCTCTTCTGTGGTGAGGGGATTTCTGCCGCCGCTTGGAGTTGGAGTATTTTAATTAAAAAAAAAAGGAGGGTGCCGCCGCTTGGGCGAGTTTAATTAAAAAAATAAATATTTATCAACTCAATATACCCAACCCTCCCTATAATAGAGAAAGAAAAAAACTCTAGCCAGGGGTTTAGTAATTTTTTTTTGACTAAACTCTCGAGATAACGTTCTCGAACAAATTATTTCACGAGATAATGCTCTTCCAAGATTAATTGCTCAAATATGGTGAAATCTACAGTGTTGGCCGTAGGTCGCCATGCCATCCGGGCGACTTACTAGGTCGCCATGTCTTCCCGGCGAGCTATGAGAGAGATTGCATGTGCCATGCACGTTCCAACACGCTGGGCATCCGAGGTCATCCAACCGAGGGCATCCGACCGAGCTATGCGAGGGCATTCGAGGTCAAGAGGAATCACGCGAGGAGCAGGAGGGAGTGCGCGAGGAGCAAGAGGGAGTGCATGGCGACCTACAAGGTCGCCCGGAGGGCATGGCAACCTATGCTTGGGGACGTGTATGGCTGGCCACGTAGTAGGTCGCCCGGAAGACATGGCGACCTACGGCCAACACTATAGATTTCACCCTATTTGAGCAATTAATATTGGGAGAGCATTATCTCGTGAAATAATTTGTTCGAGAACGTTATCTCGAGAGTTTAGCCAATTTTTTTAGTATAGTAGTACACTTAAGAACCTTGGATGGTTGGTTGGTCACTTCTGATTGTAATCTTTAATGAAGCTTTGTACAACTTGCATCAAATGTTCATACCTTTTTTTGTGGGGGGTGTTTTTGTTATCGATTTGTCTTTACAAGCATCAATTGAAATAGAAAACACTAAAACATGCAACATGCAACATGCAACATGCAACATGCAACATGTAAACCAATGAATTTTACATCCATATTTCTTTTCTGAGAAAAATAATTTTTCAAATCAAAACCAAAGAACTAAGCTGCATATTTTCAAAAATATTTTTCAAAACTTTTTTACTTTTCGAAGTTTAAATCGTTATCTATTTGTCCTGAAATTTTAACTCCAATAAACAATCGACGAACAATTAGAACACACCACGTCATCATAAATAAATAAAAACTTAAATATATTATTATCCCTAAATTATACATTTTATACTAAGCTACCCAAAATACTTTTCAAAACGTTTTGTCATTTAAGATTTAAATCATTATCTTATTTACATCAAAATGTTAGTTCCATTAAAAATATCGATTATTAAAATAGAACAAAAATGTAACAAAAAAGTTTTACCAACTTCTCACTAATCTATAGCTTTTAAGATTTTCTTTTCTTTTCTCGGTTCTTCATGTCTACTTCTTACTAAGATCGATCAAATCACACTCACAAAAATCCAACTTTGAATCGTACTTTTGCAGAGCCATGGCTCATCTGGTAATGTTTGTCTTCTCTCGGTTGGGTTGTCTCGCAGATTTATCCTTTAAATATTGTCTTATAATCTTATAATTGTGGGGTTCTGTTTTCAATAAACAAATTCATATGAAAGTATTTTGTAAAATACATTTTCCATTTTTCAAGAATCTTAATTTTATTTTCTTCCATTTTTCAACTCAACCAAATAATAAATGAAAAGAAATTTACATTTTATTTTAATTTTACATCTTTCCTATGGTGCATCAAAGAAAATATAGTATATATATGTCATCTTTTCACTATTTTACCTGTTCAATTTTCCATCTTTCATTTTTTCACTCTAATCCTAGAATAAATAAAATACCAAAATGAGAAAGTAACGCGCAAAACGCAAGAAGTACATCAAAGAGATGGTTATCATCATCATCATCTGATTCTGACTCCCACGTAGCCATGTACTGGATAATAAGACAATAACACCAATGTGCATACAACATAAAGGTTAATATTGCCGCATATAAAATCTAAAATGCTTACAATTTCAATGGTTTCAAACCAAGGGATGCTCGAATCCTGCTGGCTTCCGCAATCTCTGGATCTGGGTGGTCCGTTCCATCGTCCTTCTTTTCCTTGTTTCCCTTCCTCTTCTTCGACTCTTCTGGAGGATTGCCATCCTCTGCTTCATGCCTTCTAGGACTCATGCTGCAATGAGCATGTCTCTTCCTGTCCCTACTCCTACTACGACTCCTTGAATGGCTCCTTCGTCTGCCACGTTCCCTGTCTCGCCTATCACGCTCCCTACCTTCCCTCACTCAATCTCGATCCCTCTCATAGCCATACTCCTTTTCCTCTCTCAGGCGATAATGATCCCTATCTCTGTCCCTATCCCTATCTCTCTCACGGCCACTTCCCCTTTCTCTATCATAGTCTCTATCGCTGTGGAAAGGGAAAGAAACAACATTATGCGTGTTTTAGTGTTTTCTACTTCAAATTGATGCTTGTAAAAACAAATCGATAACAAAACCCCCACAAAGAAAGGTATGAACCCATCATAACTTGAACATTTGATGCAAGTTGTACAAAGCTTCATCAAAGATTACAACCAGAAGTGACCAACCAACCATCCAAAGTTCTTAAGTGTCATACTGTCATGTAAGTCACACGATAACCTTTAAAAAAATGTTTCAAGTAATAAAGACCATTCACAAACTAAAATATGACCGTATAAATGCAAGCCAAATATGAACCTAATGCTTAATTGTATGATCTATCATACTTCTCGCTGCACACTGTCAGTGCAGAGAAACCTGGCAAGACCACATAAAAATTTAAAAGGAAGCTTTTCAACCCATCTATGGCTTTAAATGCCATAGGGGAAACACAACGTTGGAACAATTATGCCTACGCAAATAGGAACCATATTCATCCAACAGCTTCCACTCATGACTCAATTAGTTTTTTCTTGTGCTAAATGGTTAAAGTAAGCAGCAAGCCTGCCTGTCAGCTGTTACAAAGCTAAAAAGCTGCAAAATGGTAAACGGGAAAGAACAGTCTACAACTGAAGTGATGTTTATCCAAATTAGCCCCAAGTAGGTGCATGTTAATGTTCATACGTGGAATCTTCAAAAAAAATATTAATGTTCATACGTGGAATAAATAATAAGGCTCCCATTATGTTTTATTAGCCCTAAGCTAGGTGCCCGGTTAGTTGTTTGTTCATCATCTTGAGAAAAACACTAACAATCTCATATTCTTTTATTGTTTTATCCTCAAAAGTTCTGGAAAACTAATATGTACAAGAACAAAAAAAAAAACTTGAAGGAAGGTACCTGTGTCTATGACTGTCTCATCTATAATCTCTTTCTCTATCTCTTGCAGGGCTCCTCCCTTGGTAATAATCCTGCTAAAATGAAAGTAAGTATCAGAATAGTGAAGCTACATAATCAATCAATGAAAATAGTACTCCTCTATAAACCTTTTCAAGAGCCACATCCTCTTCTAAACCATCTTGCTCAATCTCATCCTTCTCTTCCTCCTCCTCAAAATCATCTTCCAGCACACTTTTTCGTGCATCCAGTGCACCAAGCGATTCAAGGGTCCACCTGTTGAAACATACATAACGAACTTAATCTTCAAAGAGAGTGACGTATCAAAAACACAAATATGTCCGCTAAGCTCTCTTAACATATACAATTCCCATTGAAAAGAGATTTGACTTCGATAATGTTAATCAAATAAGCAAAGAAATCAATAACTGGCCATGAGAAAGAAAAAGTAAACCTTTAACTTTTCTTAATACGCGGTAGGGCAATAACACAAGAATAATCTGTTGTGAGAAGTTCGTCAATCACCTCATCAACATGAGTCAAAATGAAATCTGATACATTAAAGACCATCCAAGATGACAACAATTAATAAACCCATCTAAACATTAAAACTGATACGCAAGGCAATAGATGCAGAATAAAATTGAAAAGAAAAATCAAGTAAAGAAAAAGGAAAAAAAACTTACTTCCATAAGGTGATTTTCGCCTTACTTTCCGATAATCGTTGTACAAAGGCTCTAAATAACGATAAATGTCGGAATCAATCCCCGTAAGACGCAAATAAAAAGCTCCCATAACCCTTACATACCTGAAATTAATTTCCACATAATATTTAGTGAAATTGAAACAAGCAAAAGGGGAAAAAAGAAAATAGAATGTTTTTCAGAAACTAACTTGTAATCGTCGTTTTTGATGAATTCGACGACTATGTCCTTTTCGGGTTGAATTTGGAGCATTTTCATGAAGAGGCACATGAAGGGAGTGGGCTTTCGATTACCGCCGTAAGTTCCGCCAATGTGATACAGCTCCACTGCCTTGTCAACCAGCGTCTCCGCCGTCAGCCCGAAACACTGCTCCTTCCAGTAGGTATTCTGGTAAATCTTCGAGCGTACAATCTTCTCGATAAGGTTTTAAGGGTTCGTTCCCCTTATGCTTTTGGCGGCCGGATCCGTACGTTTCGCCATGGTCTGTCAGAATAAGCTGATCCTTTAGATTGGACAAAAACCTAGCTCTGAGGTAACATAAGGGAAAAAGATTGGCAACAGGGGAGGCGGGGTGGCGTCGAGAGGTAGTGGCGAGACGATTGCTACACCGATGACTCCCTTCGAGATGAACGACGACGAGAACAAACGGCAAGGACGTGAGCGGCGTAAAACAAACGAAAAGTAAAAGAGTTGAGGGAGAGCGGCCGTGTAAAAAAGCAACAGGCTCGGCGAGTTTGTGTTATAAAAGAAATGGGTAAATCACAAATTAAGTCCCTACAAATTTTATTATTTTCAAAATAGAATAAATTTTTTGATTATTTACGAAAAGGTCACTATATTAAAATTAGAGATTTAAGGGAAAATTCCCAAATTCTAGGGTTTCAAATTTGGGAAAAAATTGGGGTGTTATTAAGTGCTAATGTTTGAGGTCTTGTAGTTCGGAACATCGATATTTTTAGCAATGAAACAACAGTTATTGGCTATTGAACAATCTTACAATCATAAATGGAAAGACTATAATCTCACAACAGTTGGATGAAGGTTGCATTGCTTGCTAGATTTGGAATTCTCCACTTGCATGGACTTCCTTGACCCGCTTATCGTATTCATCTTCTTCATCGTCTTCTTTCACTTCATCGTCGATGTCTTCTTCTTCATCCTCGTCTTGTTCCCAACCAAAGCCCTTGACAGGCACTGATGCCGGAGGTGGACTTCTTGCCTCTTCCACGATTTTTATTATCTCATCCACACTTTGAAGAGAAAATGTAGGGTTATCGCTTCGGTAATAAGTAGCTTGTGCTGTGTTTGTTAGCTCTCTCGGCAAGTTATTCAAAAACCAAGGATGTTTTTCTATTTCCTTAAGTGTGATCCTCTGAAACAAAAAGGAAAAGGCAAATAGTTAACATCTGAAATTTCAATAAATGAACCTCCAAATATTTGGTCCATTAAACATGCAATCAACATCACAAATCCAGGCTACTCTGATGCTACCATTGGTGATAAACATTCAATAGTCATCACAAATACATTCAATATTTAGCAAACCAACTGAGGTGAAAAAAACATACTATAGTACCAGGTAATAAAACGAATAGGTATAGAGTCAAAAAATCCTCTAATGTTTGATTAAATAGTCACTTTGATTTCTATTTTTTTAGCATTTTGACCCCCAAAATTTTATTTTAGAGAAAAAAGGCCTCTATTTTAGAGGGTCGATCGTTTGTTTAGTAATGGTTTTCATCCATGGAATGGCATTTTTGGCCCAAAATGAAACGTTGGGGTCAAAATGCTTCAAAAAAAGAATTTGGACCAAAGTGACTATTTGATCAAATGTTAGGAAAATTTTTTCTCATTATACCAAACGAATAAAGGCAACATCATTTTTATGCAACCAGAAGATCAGCAGCTGCATATCAATTAGATTTCTACCCAAAACCAATTGTCTTGAAGTTGGGTCGCTGTGCTAATAGTTATAACAAGATATTGTATATGCATCACGATGCTTAATACGGTAGAAGATGGAGCAAGGTTAAGAGAATGAAATAGATCAAAAGATGCTGAGAGGAAAACATTTAATTTTGGCAATCTATTCTTCCTAGTTCCTCCAATAATACTAGTTATTCCAAGATAATGCACTAGGTTTCTTTGTCCTCTCCCATTGGAATTAAAAGTTTTCGTTAATCAAAGAGTAACAATGAGAGGGCTACTAACTTACCTATATTGTCTGGTACATGCTTTTAAGGTTTTAGACAATGTCAGTAATCATATAGCAAAAGCATAGATGTGTTGCAATTGCAGTGCTTTATCAATTAACTTAAAATGATACATACCCTGGATGGATGTGCAACAAATATGCGTGAGAGCAGGTTCTTGCAATCTTGAGATATATGAACATAGTCTGGAATTTTGTACTGAACACCCATTATTCTCTTCCCAAAAATAATAAGGAATGGAGATAATATTTAAATAAAAAATACATGAAGAAGATGCAGACTTGAATTTACCTGAATTGTTTTCCGAAAATTCCTAGGGTCCTTTTGGTCTTCAAAAGGGTATGCTCCCACCAGCATACCATAAAGGGTAACTCCACAGGACCATACATCTGCCAACTATACAAGAAAATACATGACTTAAGATCAACAATACTTATTATATGTTGCTAATAGGATTTTATTAGACTTTGAAATACAGAAAAAATACATGAAATTAGTGGAAAACGTTGGAAGGGCCAGGGGTGGACTGCTAACCATAACCACCCCAGCAATCCCACCCTGTGCAGAACTTGCAAAAATATCATATACGAAAGGCCAGTTATTTCGCATACAAAGGCCAAATGCCTTTGGAAGTAACTAATAAGTAATCTGAACTTCAAGCAGGTCACAATTACTGTTTAGGGGCTTCAATCAGTCTCCAAACGGAGCTACAGTGAGGTCAACTAACAACACAGTCATTCAATAGCCATTCGAATTTTAGCTTGGCTAACAACCGTCCAGTATACCATCAACAATGACAATTAGGAAATGCATTTCATCACATATCTTACATTTTCAAAAAATAACTAAATAAATGACAGAATCTATGCAATGGAAGAATGGATACTACCATGCATTAAGAAAATTAAAGGATTTCAAAAATCTTCAGATTAGCTCTGTGGTTGCATGCTAGGCATCAAAGTCAAAAGTGGCAGACCAGATCCAAGTCATGTCATTAATATATTTTAAATAAAAAATAACAAAAGTATGCAGACATACTATATTAAAAAAAATACACTGTTCCTACTCTTTTTCCTATTTTCCTAACCCAATTTACCAATTTTCAATTTTTATTTTGCTCACTCTCCTATTATCTCTTTAAATTCGTTAACAAAAAAACTGAAGGTGGTCGGATGCTACTGTCAGCTATCGTAAATTGTGGTCTTTCAGTCTCAAATTTTATGGATTGCTTCACCTCGACATCGTGAGCCCGAATCCGACCTCCATTTTGTATTAACTTGCTCTGAAGTCCATGAATTTGAGATTGAAAATGAGGAAGCCGAAACATTTCAATTCGGATTCACATGACATTTTTCGGTGAAACAACCACCAGATTCAGACTTACGGGTTCGAAATGAATTGACCCATAAAATTTGAGATCAAACAACCATCATCAACAATGTTGATCAAAATGAGGATGGTGTCGTGACTAACGACGGCAACCGGTTACAAAGTAGAAAGAAAGTGGGGGAAGAAAAAGGAAAAAAATAAAAAAAATGAAGCAGAAAAATATTTTATATGGATTCGTAACAACGTCATTTTAGTGTATATTTGAGTTTTTAAAATGATGTCATTTTGATGTTTCTGTCATTTTTTGTGTTATGTCATAACACCGCTAAATAATTAACGACAGGGTGAGTAAAATGATTAAATTTGAAAAGTTTAATAAGTAAATTAAAAAATTTAAAAGTTAGATGAAGAAAATAAGAGAGAATATAATTCAGTGAAAAACGATATAATTTACATTAAAAAATTATTAAACCCTTGGTCATAGTTTTTTCTTTCTCTATTATAGGCAGAGTTAGGTATATTGAGTTGATAAATAATTATTTTTTATTAAAATAAAATTATTTAAATTTTATTAAAATAATTCATAATCAAATTTTTATTAAAATTCACCTTTAAAAAAAATAAAATCCCCCAAGCGGTTGCAGCATAAATCCCCTTTTGTTTTATTAAAATCCACCCCTTATTTAATGAAACCTGTCCAGTCGGCGGCACCCCTTTTGTTTTATTAAACCCCACCCACGTAGCGCAAAGTCCTTTTTCCAATTAAAATCCTCCCCAAGCGGCGGCAGAATTCCCCTAGCCACCAAAGCGGCAATAGCGTGCGCTCTGAGCCTCTGAAAAAAAAATCGCCTTAAGCGTGCGCTCGGGAGGGCTTTTGGTTATGCACTCCGCCCAGCTCTCCAATAGCGATATCCTCCGCGCCCACCGGCGCCTGAGGCGCGCCGAAATATTTAATTCTCGGGTGGAAGAAAATGACCTCACGTAAAGAGTTAAGACGTGAAGGGGAAATACATGAATTAGGGGCATGCTAGTTTTTGTCCTCCCAAAACTTCTCAAGACGAAACAGTGAGGTCCATTTGAGATCAAGGTTTCATTTCATCTTATTAAGCTAACATTTAACTCTCGAAAATTATAATTATATGTTAAAGTAAGGATTATTAAACCGTGTTCGTTACGGGATATTATATGCTCCTGGCATCTGATGGTTTGCCTCAGGAATCTGTTATTCCTAGAGGCTTTTTTTATTTCTATGCATTGCGTTAGCAATTGGTTTGAGGTGACCATGTACCTGCAAAGCACCCGTACAAGCAATTTGCATGGGAAAGAGGTCGACCGTTTACTAGAAATTTATGCACGATACAGCAATTACAAGCATGTTCCAAACCGAAGAAAAAGCTAGACACCGACATCACAGTGTAAATATAGAATGCTTGACAAACCAGATGCAAATAGCCAAAACCCAATGCTCCATTCAAATTTAAGGAACCAAAAAAATATTGGCAGCCAAGGACGGTGACCCTTGGAGGCAGGCAGCTCGATAGAACCAAGGAAATTCAAAACTGGATCTTTAAATTTGTGACTTAAGTATGGTCCCATTTCATAGGTAAGCCTGTATGAATCCGGATCGTTCGTCAAGGACTTACGGATGTTCCATAAACAGAGAGATAAAGCACATGTACTGTGTAAGGTGAAGGAAACAATAATGTCAATGTTTCCATTGATGGTCTATCATAACAACTGCATTAATAAATGGTCTGTTGGAAGGGATCCGAGCCAGCTGTGGATGGTAGGGGTCAGGGGAGAGGATGTTCTAACCCTGCACCTTGTAAGTTTCGACGAATGTTGGGTAGTCTTTGAGCCATGGGAAGACGTATAAAGTCTGACATTTCAACTGTGGATTTCATGAAATGCTGTACTGTGGAAGTTGGCTACAATAGGTAAGAAGGAAACACTAATCAATGTATATTGTTTGAATTGATGCTTGGCGGTCCGACAAGACAAAATAATGACTATTTTGAGTTATGCAGGTGGAAATGTGAAATTGAGTAGAGAAAAGAAATAGTACTTCAATACATTCAGATTTCAAACCAGCACAAGCCATCAGAGGTTGCCACATCTGTTGAGCATCGGTTCCACTAATAGAATTAACAATTGTTTTCTCACTACAATATTAAAAATTGAAATACAATCACCACCTAGAGTTGAACAAAGGCATAAAAGTGGACATGGAGATGTTGAATTCTTTACTGGAGCTGCTGAAATTAGGAGTAATGGTGCTCAACTTGAAACCAAAGGAAACTCTTACCTTATTTGTTGTAATAAAACATGCTGCAAGATCTATTACTGAATTATGCTATGCATCTAAGATACAGCGGCTGGTTGTGGTGTTGCCTCCTCTGCTTGCAAACTCTTATAGTATTTGACAAGGACTTCCCATCCTCCAGGGCACATAAAACCATCAGGCGGGTTCTCACCAGTTCTTGCATATGTTCGCATCTGCAGCAATGTGTTAGGTCAGAACTGCACAAATCATAATTACGTACAGTTTGAAAACGCCACAACATTTCAAACAGTTGTATGGAAAATTTCAATAACAAGGTTTTATAAGCACAGAATAACTGGTACATGCAGCCAGACTATCAAGTCTACTTACTCTTCGGAAACTACCATCACATGCCATGCATTGTATCACTACCAATATTTTTTTAACTGAAATGTAATGAATCAAGCCAAACCAGTCCATGGTAATCTGTTATGACCTAATATAAATTAATGAGTAAAGTTAATTCCCTCAAGTTTCTGCGCAGACCAGGTTTCCCTTGGTAGTCTGTCACTGTAGAATCTCAAACATATTAGATGAAGGTAGTTTTGAGCACGGAATGAGAACCAAGACCAATTAACTCAATAACAAACATCAAATTCAGTTTGATATGTTCTGCACAATTCTTAGTATTGTTATAAAATAAATAAGCCTGAAACAACATCAAATTCTAGAAAAAATTAACTCTCACCTTGGTTCCTGAGATGAAGAGGAATTCTTTGGCACGTGAAGGATCAAAAAATGCCATCTTCTTTGCCACTGTGTCATAAGCTGCGACCTGATATGATAACTCAGGAGAATGAGTGCAAAAGGAAAAGAAAAACAATGTAAGGCACCATCTAAACAAAATCCAGTCCTGAATGAGTGGTAGACGTTTCCCTTAGAATCAATAGTGATTTTTCCCCTTTCAATGGATAAGTATTTAAAAATATTTTGGGGCTGCGTAGCAGGGAGTCTCTAGAAAGAAACAGGTCTACCGAAATGGGGAGTAACTCATTTATTGAAGATCTACCGAAAAGGACAGCCTAACCATACCAACAATTAAATGCCAATCAAGAAGAGTTAGTAGAGTTTTGAATGGTAAATGCATAAAGTATCAAAAACTAAGGTTAAACCAGCATATATGTTACAGTTTCAAATAATAAATGTGTATAGTATCAAAAACTAATGTTAAACCAGCATGTTTGTTACTTACCCTAAATGGCAAAATGTTAAGTTTTTCCAAGCCGGGAGCCATAGTCAGCACTTTTTTCCCATGATCAGGGTCATACAAATCCCTCTTCTCTGTTGGGTGACCCATGCCGGCAGGATCACGACCTACAATATAGAAATTAGCCCCAGCGTTTATCCTTCCCTTGGCATGCCACTGTACCTCTGTTGGACCTGCATAATGCATAGGTGATGGGAATATGGCCACAATGGTAGTCTCAGGATCAAGGACTCCATCTTCTAGGACCTGAGCATAAATGAAATCCAACTATAATTTCCGATATCCTAATAAATTTATTTGGTGTGGTTCCATTACACATGTCACTTTAAACAAAGAAGCTAATCCCTACAGAAATTAGAAACTTTCAAGACCAGAAGAATTCATTTACTTCCATTCCACCATACAAGAAAACTATCATGATTCGGTCCAAGTACTGGGCTAGGAAGAAGATCAAAATGACTTAAAGAATGTGCACATCTCTTGTCATTAGAGTAATTAAGCTTAACAAGAATAACATTAGCAATGGCTAAACAGAAGGGATGGTGGGGAAAACCTTGCTGTGTTGTTCCATCCGAACATCCAAGGGCACATCATCAGCCTTGGTGAAACCACCTAAAGGATGAAGCAAGAGGATCGGATTCTTGAAACCAATATCTAAAAGTCGCCTCCGAGTATCATTCATCAACAGTGCATGTCCATTATGGACAGGATTCCTTAGCTGAAAAGCAAAAACAGCATCCGCCTTACGCCTATCAAATTCCTGTCTAAGTTGCTTGGGGGAAAGTCTGTAGCAATCAAGTCCGTCATTATACTTGATGGGTTTCAAAACTTCCAGATCACCTCCAATGAGCCAGTTTCCAGCCGGAGTAATGACTTCCTCCACGTATGGCAAACCTGCTGCAGTTGTTCCCCATGTTCTAGCTACTCTTTCTTCTTTGTTATGCTTGTAGATTTGAATTCTGCAATAAAACTTAAGTAGCATTTAAAAGTTATTTTCAAGAACAATACATTGGATTGAAAGCTTGCTGACAATTAGATCATAACCGAGCAATGAAGTACATAAACCGACAAGGCTCCACGAATGCTAACATCAAAGAAAACGGGGCCAAATTCTAAATCAACCTTATATCCTTTTTGTAACTTTCTTTTACAAAGAAAAAATGGGATTACAACATTCAAAATTAAAAGAAGAATAGGAATTAAAGAGTATGAACCTCCTGAGAATGGCGATCAAGTCTCCGTCAGGCCGAACCAACCCAACATCGGAGGAAGACCCAATTCTCTCCTTAGTCTCATCATCAATAGCCAAAACAATGGGAAGAGACATGTTGACAAAGGACCCATCTTTCAATCTCAAATAATTAAAATGTAAGCTTTGCAAATACTCATCTTCCCGCATAAACCCTTTCAAAGGGCTAGCCCAGCCTTCACTGATTACATGCAACCACTCCACATCGATTTTGGTTAGCCTCACCTTTGGCAACGACTCGGCCTCAACCGTCTTCGCTTCCCTCTCACTATCCGGGACAACCAAATCGATGAGGATCCCACCATCAGGCTCGATCAACGAGCTCTTGATCACGGAAGTTGAAGAAGACTGAACCGGACCTTGCATTCTTTTCGATTGGTAAAAAGATAATGTTAAAGGATTGAAATTGTAAATAGATTTTGGTCGGATTTTTGTGTTGTAACCCCTGAATCTACTGGATTTGCTGTTGAAACTATGGTAAGTGGTGGAAGTGAAGTGTAGTTTAGTTGTTAAGGACATGCTCGAAGAGAATTGTGAGAGTTGGTTCAAAGAACAAGTTGTTAGAAAAACATAGCGAGATCCGGGAAAACTGGAGGAAAAAAGCTGGAGCTTGAAAATTGGCGAACATCTTCATCGTTGGCGGTAGTAGAAGGTACAGCTTCGGCCTGGTAAAAGGTATCCACTCTTTCGGTCCTCGTGCTTTACCGTAAGAAATGGAGTTGGTGCCGTTAGGGGAGCTGACTGAGCTTCAATTCTGGGCTGGAAACAAAAATTATCTGGACCAATAGGAGTATATGCAAATGTGTAAACACTAATTTTTTTCATTTTTATTTTTAAAATTATTATTATTATTATTAAATATTATTATTATTAAATAAATAATTACAAGCCCAAGAGTTGACCCAACTCTGGCCCATTTTTCAAAATCCGGATGGCCCAACAAGACCCAAACCCTAATGTAAATAAGGTTTCTAAACTCTATCTCAACTAGAGTCGTCGCCGCCTCAGCTTCCAACTGTCGCTGTCGACGTTTCCACTGCCAGGTGACCCAACCAAATGCTACCGACACCTTCACTGCCACGCCACCTCACCGCTGAAGCTTCTAGAAGACCAGTTGCCCCTCCACACGTCGAGCTCTATGGTGAGTCACCACCATAGCTATGGTGACTCACCTAGGGTCGCCATTTGGGATCGGTCCTAAGAAGACACCGATGAGGCTATAAAAAGCCACCACCTACAAAGACAAAGACAGACAGCAAAAAAAATTAACAGAAACACCAACGGTGACAAAGAGATAACAACAGAGACGAGCAAGCAAGACACCAACAAAAAAAAATCAACCCACAACTACAAACCGAAAGAAAAGAGGAGAAAGTGAAGCAACTTACCCTCATCGGAGCCTCCAAACCTCCATGGAACCACCGAAAACCGAGGTAAAACCTTCGGTTTTGTTTAGATCTACGAGTTTTAAGGGGGGGTTTAGACTAAATGTACTCATATTCGGGTTCAGGGAATAAAAAGGGAAATTTTGGTGTAAAAATTTCATTTCCGACCACCGCGGATGGTGGCTGGCGGAGGGTTGCCGGTGTCGGAGCACGGCTGTCGGCCGGTGGTCGGCCAACCTCCAACGGGAGGTTTGAAGAGAGAGGGCAGAGAGAATTGATTATCTCTCTTTTAGAGAGAGAAAGGAAAAAAAGAAATGAAAGGCTTAGAGCCTTTCTCGGCCAGTTAAAGGGTTTATATACCTTCTCCTAAACGACGTCGTTTTGGGGAGGGGTGCTTGTGTAATTTCTCTCATGGCTAAACCCTTTCCGCAATACCCATAGTTTTATAACTTTACGTTTTAGTCACTTAAATCAATTTATAATCATTTTAATTCGATATGACAAAGATATGATTTTTTTCTATTAAAATTTAACCTTTTCGAAGATAGTGTTATATTGACAGACAGGTAATGATCATATTGACTTAGTGGTAGCATGATTGTCAATAAATTGATTGATAAATTTATATTATATGTATGTAGGGTATAAAATTAAATTAATATAATTTTGTTACTATATACACGTGATATGCATATTGTAAATAAACAATCCTCATCATTTTGATAAAATCTTCAAGAAAGATCCCGCATCAATAAATTATTTTTTATTTAGAATTTAGTGTTTAAATTTTATTTTAGTATATTTTAGTACATGTTATATTTATATATATTTAATTTAGTACTTTAAATTATTATTTTATTTTTGTCATATAAATATATATATTAAATAATAATATTATTATTTTTTTAATATTAAGAATTGGGTTGTCTTAAAGTAACTAGATGTCATTTTTTGATATTTTTAAATAAATAAAAAATCTTACTTATAAAATGTATATATATATATATACATATTGTTTTATTTAAATTATTTTCTTAGGAAAAATTATTATTTTTAATATTTATTTATTTTTCAAATATTAAGAAAGGGCAGTCTTAAAGCAACTAGATGTCATTTTCTAATGTTTTAAATAAATAAATATTTTATTTATAATTTATAAAAATTATTTAATATCTTTTTCTTCCTTAGAATTACCCGATTAAAATACGAAATAATAGGATCATAATTTAAATTTATATTCGAATTCTTAAATTCTAATATTAGAGACAATTTATAGTTGACAATGACCAATTTTGGGCGTTGTGGGGGTGTTAATCATTCCTCAAACGTAACCGACCGCGAATCCCTTTTTTATTATTAAAAAGAACGAATTTTTGGTTAAACGCATACCAGTTTATCTTTTAACTGATGTTTTCTTAAAAACTCTTTTAAAAGATGATTTTTAGGTATTCGACCTACCTAATCTAAAAGGCCGATAGCGACTCCCAAAATATTTTTTAAAATCAAAATCATTTTTTATCCACATTATTTTTCCCGCCAAGTAAAAATTCGTACCAGGGCAAAAACCGGTTACGATAGCTTGGCGACTCTGTTGGGGACTCTGGTAAACCATAGTCGATTATATGTTGTCTCTATAATTAGAAATTAAGAATTCAATTTTATTTAATTTATGATTCTTTTGATTTCTTTCAATTTATTTTATACTCTTGTATATTTGATTGCTTTTTAGATATTAAATTTTGTGTGAAAATTTCTCCTCACACACAACACGTGCATTGCATAACATAAGCTTTATAATCAAGCTTGTCCCTTTTAAGTGAGAGTGAAAGCGACGTCTTCGTGAGAATTTATTATCCGTGTCAGACCTAGGGAAATGTGTTCCCTCGAATTGAACTCGACCCGCTTAAGTCTGTAATGGATAAGGATTGAGGGTTTGGTAGCCCAAATGGGCACCAACAAGGGCAGTTCGAGTACCTTTACTCCTAGAACTGAAACCCTACATATAATAAACCTTAGAACTTCACCTGATCTAAGGCAGTACTGAACCTCTGTCCGTAGGTATACACAAAGGAGAAATAAGTTCTAACTTTTTATCTTTTTAATTTATTTGATTTTTCCCCTTTTTCTGAATAAATGCATGCGAACTAGAAATCATGAGGTCATGTTAATTTTTCCAAACAAAGCATGGAACTAGAAAGCATGAGGTTAAGATATATTATATACCATGATAGATATAATCTTTTCTTTCCATTAATTAGTACTAACTATTTTATTTTTTTTATTTTTTTATTTTGCTCTAACTTGTTTACATTAATTTCTTTTGCTTGCATTGCATGATCATGGCATAACCAAAAGGTGTTGATTTGAAAGACTGTTCATCAAATTGGAAAGAATTCATAAATGGACAAAAAGTTTTATGATCAACCAAACTATGACGCAGCTAAGGAAAGACATCCTGAGGGAACTCCAAAGATAGAGGAGAGTTATACACCCAAAAATCATATGCCCATGGAGGAGCAAAAGGAGATACGAGAAATAAGGGAGCAGATGTCCAAGATGATGGTTAGAATATCTGTTTTGGCCAAAGGAAAATAGATTCCTGCACAAAAAAAGAGAGATCTCAATGAAAATAATCCTGCAATCTCAAATATACAAGGGACTTCTAATCCTAACCAATTTGAAAAATTACATACAATCATCATTTGTATTCACAAGTTATCTAGAGATACCAAAGAAACGATGACAATTGTAAAAGCTCACAGAGATGAGAAAAAATCATGTAATCTGAAATCGTCGAAGTTTAGTCTGCTCCCAACGTCTAAAACTCAGGTTCAATCCAAGACAAAAAACGGTTCTCATTTTGATGTTATCCCTATATCATATAAAGAGTTATATGAAAAGCTACTTGAAGCACGAGAAGTGCTTCCGTACTACATAAAACCGTTCCAACCTCTGTATCTGAATTGGTATGACATCAACGTTTATTGTGAATATCATGCCGGAGCTCAAGGGCATACCATTGAGAATTGTCTTGCCTTCAAATATCGAGTCCAAAATCTTTTGGATCATGAAACCTTACAATTTATGATAAATGATCGACCTAGTTTGGTAACTGAAGGTCCTGCTAGAGTAATACCAAAAGACTTCAAAGGTAAAAGTATCAGTAGGGGAGTCCAAAAAGAAGAAGATTTTATGAGGTCTGAGGCTCAAATACGTCATTTAAAGATTGAAAACGATAAATTGAGCACCAAAATGGAAACCATACAGGAAGATTTTCAGAAGGTCAGTCAAGCCTTTCAAAATGTTGGCATAAGAAACACCCCAGAAGAGTGGATAACAGGGGTCACCAAACTGAAAAAGAACTGCAACATATATGAAGATCTTGTCCAAAAACTTCTTGAACATAAAAGTTCTCTTACAAGAGAAAATGAGCAACTCTGAGAATTGGCACAAGAAGATGAAGGAAAAAGAGAATGTTATGGAATAAGCTACAGTTCAGATAAGCAATATGGCCCATAAGCTGATAGACTAAATTGGCCTTAGAGAAGAAAATGGGAAAACTATCCCCTATATGTAAAAGTTTTGTTTGATGCACGGAAACTTTTGTGTTCAATGAAATCTGTTTTAAGATTATCACTCTTGAGTAATACATTTTCATACATGCATTTACATTTCACATCTTTGCATTTCACATCTTTGCATTTTCATTTTGCATTCATACTTTTATGTTTGCTTTTACATTGCACAACTTGCATTCTTATTTTTATATTTATGCATTTTCGCATTTACATTACAGTTTTATTTAAGTATTGTTATATATATTAATTATAAAAACATGTAAATAATTCATGAGAAGTTTTTGAAACAGTAAAACCGAGATCATTCATTCATATTACTATATCATCATCATGAAAACAATGGAGCAATCTTATGAGAGACTACAAGATCACTGGCCAGAACAATTGACAGTGTTACCTCAAGATACAAGGAAATAAACATCATATTCGGTACCAGATGGATCAAATCAAATTGTTCAGGGCATGGCATCTGATAAAGAAGAGATAAATAATAAAGAGCAACCATACTATCAAATTGAAGAGTCGAGAATGATAACAAACCCTGGGGCATCCCACTTTAGCTCAAATAATAGTCTCATTAATTATTCACAATATGAGGAGAGATTCACGAGGATGGATGAAGTAATCAGAAATATGAAAAGTGTTAATGCCTCCCACAAAGAACTAGAAGCAAGAGAGCTCAGCTTGGTTCCAGATTTGGTTATTCCCCATGAATTAAAAAATGCCTGATTTTGAGAAATATGATGGCACCAGTTGTCCCCTAATCC